TCAAAATCTTTCTGTACACGTAATAAATGTACAAAAAGAACTAGCTGAAACTTTAGATAAGGGTTTAAGCATTAAAATCCTTGGAGGATTTGAGTTCTAGTGAAAAGTTCTTTAAGCCTATTTTATGACATGAGTCTACTGTTTAGTAAGGTAAAGGTAAAGGCCCTCCCGTTGATCGTCGATTTGCTTGAGCGGGCCCAGTAACGTCTCCATTGGAGACTTTGTTGTTACTGTGTTTGGCATATCGAATACTCTCGGTAGCTTGCCAGGCTCTCCAAGAGGGGCGGAGGAATCGAACTCGGGTCGGCCATGTTGGCCACTTGTAAGGCAAACGCCCTACCCGCTGTGCTATCGCTCCAGCCCTACTGTTTAGTATGTCACATAAAGAGAATGAGCATTCATCTGCTGCACTTTTTTTATATAGTTGTTACAATGTGTTCCACAAAATTTTGTTTTTGGGATCGTATCAGTAGTATTTTGGGGTTACTCCTGACTGTGTTTTGGAGATGGCTCTCATTGGTGCTCAGGGGATTGAACTGGGCATACAGAACTGTCTCTGAAGCTCATATTCAACAAAATTTTGTTTATGATTACACACTTGCCAAACAGGTTTTTTTTTTTTTTTTTGCAGGGGCGGGTAGAATACTCTGATCAGTTTATTGCAGTAAAATAGTATGTGAATAGAAGAGGAGCCTATATTGTCACTTTCATTTTTTTAAATCATGGGCCTAAAAATATTGGAGGTAGATCTGACAGATCATACATGGCTAAACTATTTACACAATTATGATTTTTTTAAATACCAAAGCATTTACTTTGATATTTGCCATACTTTCAACCTAAGAAGCAATTCATTCCAAGTGTTTCCTCATTATTTTTTTTAATGTATTCTGTCTTGCATACCTTTAAGTTACCTAAAAGTCTTCTGAGACATATTGTCTATGTACATTTTAATATATATGTTATTGTCACCAGTGATAGCACACTTAAGAAATCTATTCTCCTTTTTCAGCCATTTGCCTATACTTGAAAACAGACTCTTGAGACTCCTAGATACATTCAATTCACACTGTAGAGCTGAATAACTAATCTTGTCCAAAGGAAGGCACTGTTTGAGAGGTCGTGATAAGTGAGTTCATAATGGCTAGTCTGTTCCCTCTCCAGTTATTTGAATCCTGTGTATTTTGTTCAGAAGATCAACCGAAGTTTGTCTCTTTCCCAGGTCATTTTTTAAAATTCAGATAAAAACTCATATAGAGAGATAGCTCCATCAAATATAAGTGTGAAATAATCTATGTATACAGAGCTCTTATGTGTATACAGAGCTCATATATATAAATATATTTATATATACACAAGTAAATATATGTGTGTGTGTATGTATGTGTGTGTGTATATATGTATTTGTGTGTGATGAAAGCCTACTTTTTTCATGTTGATTCTCTGCTCCAAAGCTGCTCTGGGCCTGTAGTGTATGGTAGTCAGAGTATTCTGGAATGGAGTCAAAGCCAAGTCCTTTATGATCTTTGAGCAAGTGGAATACTATCTGCTTAGTTTTCCTCATCAATAAAATGAGGTGATTTAATTTTGTATTCTCAGGCTGTTCCACTCCTAAGAGGTGAACCCTCTACATTTTTGGTACTCTTTAGTACCTTCTTTAAGCTTATTAGTAAAGGCCCTCCCGTTGATCGTCAATTTGCTCGAGCGGGCCCAGTAACGTCTCCATTGGAGACTTTGTTGTTACTGTGTTTGGCATATCAAATACTCTCCGTAGCTTGCCGGGCTCTCCGAGAGGGGCGGAGGAATCGAACTCGGGTCGGCCGCTTGTAAGGTGAACGCCCTACCACTGTGCTATCACTCCAGAAGCTTATTAGTAAGTGAGGATAAACAATATAACTATCCATATAATCTCCACTTCCCACTCTCACCTTCATTGTATTTGGAAGGGCTGAGTTTTTATTTTCTAAGTTACTTATGCAGATTTTATTTTACAGTTTATTTGATTTTCATGTCTTCTCTCAGTGTCCTAGAGAATGCCTATTTAATCCAATATAGTTTTTATTTTTTTATCTTCACAAGAGCCAGGCTATTAACAATCCAGTGGACACTAGATAATTTATTATAACATATTGCATGTAAACTTTAATAGCATTTTTACCACGTGAATACCAGAAAAAAGTTAAAATGCTTAGTGTTTCAAAAACATGTTATAAATTTAACCAGAAGTACCAACCAAAACAACATAAGCAGTTATTAGTATTGACCGATTTAAAGCACTAGAAGAGAAAATGTGTTTTTTATTATTTTAAATACTCTACCAGTTTTGTTACCACTTAGAGCTGCATATTCTAGAATATTTTTATACAGTGGTGAAATAATGTATGATAAAATTTTTGTGGAATCTTACTCATATTAAAAGGTCACATTTTTAATCAATCTGATTATAACATAATGGAAAATGAACTGCAATGGGATGTAGAACCATGTACCATGGAACTGTGATTTTTAATGGAAAATTTAGTATGAAAGAAAAGATTTTGAAAAGAGATTCTTTATATAATTTTGCTGCTATTTTTGAAACTTTGAAAATAGAAAGAGAATAAAGAGAAAATGTAATTAAAAAGGACTTTTTCAGTTCATGGCTCTCGGCAACATAGAAAGTTTTGTCATCTTTGACTTTATCCTGACATAAAACCCTTATAAAATGTGGCACATGCTATGGTAGTGATCAGAACTATTTTTGGCTAGTATTAATCTTCTCAGAAAAATGCAGCCTTACACAACATCTCTAGGAAGTAAGATTAAACAGACCTGTAATGGCAAAAAAAAAAAAAACTAGATCTCAAGTATAGATGGTACTAATAACCTGACTTTTATGAGTCAGAGTTGCATTTTGAATTTAAGAAAATGTAGTCTTTCAGTAAAAGTGTTTTTAGTACCTATTTTAGAAGAGGTGCAATTTCGTCAGTTGAAGGAATGAGCTAAAATAATTTTTACTTTCAACTTCTGAGACGTGGTTAGATGCTGATTCTTGCCCCTTTATTTCTGGCATTGGTGGTTGGGATGGAGCATTGAGGGAATATTGTGGTCGCTTTCCCACAAGCTCTCATAAATGGCTACCGTTTACGGGTTGTGAAAGAAGAGTGTGTGTCTCTGTTGGGTTCATTGGCTTGTGTGGGCCAGGGCTGGGATATCAGAGTCTGTTGTGAACATTCTAAGGTGCACTCTCTCCTGGCTGGTATTCCACTGAGATGATGTTGGCATGGTATGAAAACTACTTTTTTCTTATTTCTTTAGCAAGAGAAAACATGGCCTTCTAGTTGTTGTCAGCATTTGGAACCTACCTACTTTGCTAACGACTGATCTTTGCACATACATTTTCATTGACTTTAACCCTGATCTGAGGCAGTCTTGATGTTTTTCTTATTCAATATTACTTATTGTGCTTTCTTAATATGAAACATTCAACAGTTGGAAATAACTCTTTCAAAGAAGTATTTCAACAAATAGTTCAAGCGTAGAATTAACACATCATCTGCTTTCCTATACACCCACATTTTTATACGTAGGTCTATAATTTTTAGATGTCTTTAGGATACTTAATGCAGCATATGCAGTTGTCCATGAAGGATACTTTGTTAGTTGAATAATTATAGACTTGTGTCTTAATTCATGATATGGAGGTGTGAAAATTGTCCATGTGTCAAATCTCTTTAAAACTACTCACAAATGTCATGTGGCTTAAATAAAATTCTAATGCACTTTTCAGAGGTTGGGGAGGGCTGGCTATGTTCTCTAAATACATATGAAAATGCCTGAGAAAAGTAAATTTAGAAAAATATTAAATTGGTTAATAAAATGTATCATAATCTTGTGATTCTTAAGACAGAATGACAGTAACAGATTAGTACGTTGAACAATGAAATAAAACTAAGTCTTCAAAATAAGATGTATAGGATAAAGTGAAATAAAATGAAGTTGGAAAAGATGACTGATTCATAAAATGACTGATTATAAATATTTTAAAAACTACAAAATTGGATTTTTAACCTTATGCAACATAGTAAAACAGTGGTGACCATTCTCTGATATAAAGTATGTAATTATTATCTTTGACCATATGTGGAGATGCTTTTTGAAATTATTCTTCGCCTGCCATTAGTGATTTTTTGGTACATATCTAATTAACAGTTTGCTTTATTGCTGTTTTGTTTCAAGATCCTAATTTGGTAAGATATTTTGATCCAAAGTACATTTCCAGGACACAAAAAGAGAGGAAAAATCTCCAATAGAGAATTTACTCTATTGGAGAAGTTACTCTGTTGGTTACAACTGTTAACCTTGCCTTTCACATGTGCTGTGTTCTAACTAATTATACAGGTTATGGTTATTAATGAAGTGATATATATATATATATATATATATTTTGATCAGGGATAGAGAGGCTAAATTTGTTTTTAAATTTCAATAAACATAGAACAAGGTAAGTATCAAAATTTGTCTTTCTCAATTTGGAAAGCAGATTGTAGGCAGATTATTCTTCCTGTGTAGTATAAGCTATATTTTAAAATAAGCATATATATTTAACAGTATATCAAACATAAATCAGCTGTGTATTTTTATTTAGCAGCCATGGAGCTAACTTCTTAAGTATACTTAGACTTGGGCTAAGTTATTTTATAATTATGTACTGTATAATGTTCAAATGAGCTAACTATACTTAATCTTGTACCTGATTGCATTGGTTTGGTATGTGTTTTAAATTTATTTTTTCCTGTTTGACATTAAAATATTTATACCTAGCATTTTTTTTAGCATAAGAGCCTCTAATGCTTATCTAGAACTATTTATTCTTTGGATATTTGTTTTATTGTCTTTATAATTATTTGGTTTAAAAGACTCAGATCAGTTAAAAACTGATTCTTTGATGATAGAAAATTTGCGTTATTTCCTTTCGCAGTTGATCACTTAATGGCCCCTTACCCTCTTTGGTATTACAGAGAGAAGAGAAGAGGAAGATCTTGAAGAAAGAAAAGCTCTTAAAAAAAAAATTAAAGAACTTAAATTTCTGGATTCTAAAATTGCTCAGAACCTTTGTAAGTGTCATGTTTCATTTTCTTTGATTTTTTGTTTTAATATTGTTTTGATCTTGTTTGCTTATGAATTAAACTGTTTAGGTACATTGTGGGTTAAATTCTTCAAAAGATTAATGTTTATTAAAAAGTAAAGCTAAAAAAAGATATAGAATGAAATATATTTCTCATAATAGAAAAGAAAGCTATCATTTAAATTTCATCTTTTTAGGTATAAAAACAAAGAATTAAGACCTTAATATTTTGAAAAATAGTGATAGTAGAGTGTTTCTTTTATAACACTGAATCTCTATTATTTGTGATGCTTGATCACACACAAAGGAAGTTGGAATACTAATGAAAGTAAGGACGATGAGTAAAATGAATTCCATTATCCCATCTGAGTAATTCAAAGCCTTTCCTCAAAAGTGCCGACTGGAAATATTTTAGATTTAATTACTGTTATAGGAGCTAAATACTTCGTATTGAATTGTCTTCTTGACTGAATTGCTGTGGGAGAGGAGGGCAAATAGATTTGCTTCTAACTCATTTCTGACTATCTTCAATGCATCAATGGTAGCTCTGCTTGGAACTGAGAATAATATGACCTCTATATACTTCCAGTGGTGCAGAGGATGGGGTGGTGAGGAATATGGAGAGAATCTAGAGGCATGAAGAGCTAACATGACTTTTGCCTCCCTTTCAATTAATACATGCCTCGAGTGAACTCTTTGCAAGTATTAGAACAAAACAATTCTTTGGTGAGAGGATAAAGATCAATCCTATTGATTAAAGAGGGAACTATGTTGGAGGTATATGTGTTGATAGGTAGTTGACAATGCTTTGTGAAGACTTTGGAACCCTCTTCCTTTTATATACTCACTGGGATAGAGGAGCATTTGTCACTTTCTGCACTGGAGTCCCACCAAGATCCTCATGAAAGGTGTTCAAGTCTATATAATGTTGCCCAATATGTGGTTTGTTTCTCCCTTCAGTTGATTGTATGTCTTTAGCTCTTTCAAGTTAGGTGTTGCATTGCCACATCAATGAAGTAATTTTCGAGTTTAGTTGCTGGTGCTGGAAACTGCAGTGCTCTCGGCCCTGAACTTGAGAATCAGACTGGTGTCTGCCATCCTGATATGATGAACTTAAATGACAGAGCACTGACATTTTTGAGATGTGCTGAGTGTGTCATCATAATTACATTTAATAAAAATTTAGTAGATTTTTATTTTTTGAAGGGGTCATTTTGGGCCACACCTTGACAGTACTCAGGGGCTGTTTTTTTTTTGTTCTTCTTTCATGTATCATCTTGACATTATTTGAGGGACCATATGTGGTAGAGAGGATTAAACTAGGGCTTGTCATATGCAAGGCAATCATTTTAATCCCTGGATTGTCTCTCATGTCCCTGTAACTGGAGTTTTTTGGTGCACATGGACCACTGAATTTTTGAGAATGGTTCTTTGATACAAATATTCAGGGAGTTAAAAATACCCTAAAGAAGCACTTTCTCAGTTCAAAGCATTCTTAAAGAATCTCCATGACCTGAATTATAGATGGCCTAATCTTAACATTAAATCCGATTTTTTAATTATCTTGAGGAGGTTATTTTGGATAAAATTCTTTCTAGGTGTGTCATGCATGCTACTTTAACCTAAAGGTTCATTTCAAAGTTAACTATCTGAATAAGTTTATTTATTTTGGTTTCTGGGCCACACCTGGTAGTGCTCATGGCTTACTTCTCATTCTGTGCTTAAGGGCTTAGGGATCTTTCCTGGTGAGGTTTTGGGTGCTGGGGAATCAAACCTGGGTTGTACAAGCCGAGCACCATTCACACTGTACTTTCTCCGTGGTCCTAAATTACCACTTTTGAGTAGGAGGATTTTTTGGTGTTTTTAATCTATTACATACCATATCTTAAATGGTTTTTCACATATAGTAGTAATCGTGAATGATTATTGATTTCCTTTATGTGATTGTTCTGTTTGATTTTTAATCTTGACCACAGTTTCACTACATTGATAGTTATATAAGTACTACAGGTGGGTGTGGTAGTTCAGTGACATGGATGAGGTTACCTATTTTGACAGTTGCTGTCACTGTCACTGTCCTCCCGTTGTTCATCGATTTGCTCGAGCGGGCCCAGTAACGTCTCCATTGGAGACTTTGTTGTTAAGCTGGAGTGATAGCACAGCGGTAGGGCGTTTGCCTGACAATTGCTACTAGGAATAATTTCTCTAATATTTTAAAAAATCACGTATCAGTTTGCTTTTACTAGAATATCTCCTAGTTTGGTTTTTGGTCCAATTCCCAGTGGAGCTCAGGGCTCAGTCCTGGCTCTGTGTTCAGGAATTACTCCTGGCAGTGTAAGGGGGGCCATGCACTGGATAGATCGAACCCAGGTGAGCTGTGTGTAAGGCAATCATGCACTGCACTGTGCTATCTGTCTCACCCCCTTTTCTTCTGTTAAGTGTTCTAAAGTATAAGATTCAAAGATCCAGGATTTATACCATGCCATATTATGATGTAATCCATTCTAGGATTATTCTTGCCCTCTCTGATTACATAGCAAGTGTTATTATTTATACTTTACGAAGCTTTTGTAGCCTACAATCTCTACTGTAATTACATCTGATTCACAGCTGGGTTTTGTCTATGGATTGCAGTCCTTTGAAATATTGAATTCTAAGAAGAGTCTTGTGATAGTGGCAAGATCTCATTGTCACTGGGAAATCAAAGATAATTTCTTTTGACTGAAATTTTCTATAGATTTTGTAGGACATGATCTAAATTTCACTCATTGTCTATTTTAACACGGGTTAGTTTTTCTATATATTATGTTCATACTTATTTTGTCAAATATTTCAGGCCTAGAATTAAAGATGACGTTCTAGCCATTTTATGAGGAAGATTTAGAGGTTTCCTATGTTCAGATGCATTATCATACATTGTCTGTAAAGTTGGTATTAGAACTGTAAAAGGATGAACTTGGAACTTACAAGAACTAATAGAAAGGTTTAAATATTTATAAGGTCCCTTGCAGAAAACATGTGTGACTGCTTGCAAAATATGCCGACTTTACCCTTTTCCACTGATCTCAAACTTTCCCACCAGCATCTATATAATCAGATTTTGAAGGATAAGATGCAGGTTGGTGTAAGTGTCCATTTTAATAGGCCTTAGCTATGTCTCATGTATTCCTAGTATCTTTTAAGTATTAGACGAAGGTAAGGTCTGTGCTTGACTTCTGAATTGTATATTATGCATTACCATTAGGCTGTTTTCACATCCTGTAATTTTTTCACCTTATTTGTAGCATAGTATTTTTTTTTAATGTAGGAACACTGCTATTTATTCAGCCACTGATTAGCTGATTGAATTGGGAATGAACTCCACCTTACTTTTTTTTCATTTTTTTGTAATTATATTTATTGAATCACCATGAGAGCAGTTACAAGAAACACGCGTACCTTCACCAGTGCCCATTCTCCATTCTCCGCCCCCAATAACCCCAGTATACCCCCAACCCAAACCATCCCCCTACCTGTGGGGCTGATGATTTCCACATTACTCTCTCTCTACTTTGATCACATTCAATATTTTGACACCAGACCCACCATTATTATTTGAGATTTTACCCCAACACTCAGATCTGCTGAAAAGGCAACAGTAGACAATTTGTTTTCTATTGCTGGTTATGAATAACATATGATGTCGCGTGGCAGCAGTAGTGGCCGCGTGATTTTGAAATTCTGAAATTTTAACATAAATCTGGAGGAATTTCTGCACACATCTGCTGGGTTCCGAGATTTGCTCCTGAGTCTCTGGGATCATGGCTGTTAAGCAGCTTGATCAGGAGCCAGAAAGGCCGTTCGTGGGCAATGACTTGCAGTCTCGTTGGGGTGGGGAGGACAGGACCGGCTCTATCCCCATATCATGAGGCCCAAAATGTCTCGTCACTGCGGGCCCAAAGCTGACTGTTCAATGGCCTCTGGAAGATGACGGCCACTGAGCCGCCAAGGGGGAGCAGGCGGAGGGACAACACCCTTTCCCCCCTGGGTTGACCCTGCAACAGTAACCTACTGCGTGGTCCGGACGCATTTCTGCCAAAAGCCGCTGGATTTCGAGATTTGTTTCCGAGTCTCTGGGATCACGGCCATTAAGCAGCTTGATCAGGAGCCAGAGAGGCCATTCAAGGGTGACTACTTTGGATCTCATTGGGGTAGGGAGGACAGGACCGGCTCTACCCCCATCCCGTGAGGTCCTGTATGTCTCATCACTGTGGGCCCAAGCCTTATTTTCCAATGGCCTCTGGAGGATGGCGGCCACCAAGCCACCGAGGGAGAGCATGCTTTCCCCCCTGGGGTGGCCTGGCGACAGTAACCTACTGCGGGGTCCAGACACATTTCTACCAAAAGCCACTGGGTTTCGAGATTTGTTTCTGAGTCTCTGGGATCATGGCCATGAAGCAGCGTGATCAGGAGCCAGAGAGGCAGTTCGTGGGTGATGGCTTGGGGTCTTGTTGGGGTGGGGAGGACAGGACTGGCTCCACTCCCATCCCTTGAGGCTCAAAATGTCTCGTCACTGTGGGCCCAAAGCTGACTGTCCAGTGGCCTCTGGAGGATGGCAGCCACTGGCCTCCAGGGGGAACAGGCCAAGGCATGAGACCTATTCCCACCTGGGTTGGCCCAGCACAGTTAACCTACTGCAGGGACCAGACACGTTTCTACCAAAAGCCAATGAGTTTCGAGATTTGTTTCTGAGTCTCTGGGATCATGGCCATTAAGCAGTTCAATCAGGAAACAGAGGGGCCATGTCTCCAATTACATAGCTGAGCCAGAGGTGGTTTGTGGGTGTGTTTCCCACATATCTAACTTTTGGCCGTTTACTTTCTTGGTAAACTTTGCCCCAAGTTTTTGGGGTCTGGCCAAAAGCACAGCAGCAATTTTGGGGTATCTGGAAGTCTGAAGGCGCCATCAGGCTGCTGCTGCACTCATTTCACAGGTACAGATTGACCTGCT